TACCCGTTCACATATTAATATACTTTTTTATATACGTGTTATTTATCCATATCAAAGTGAATAAAATACTGCAGATTGTAACATAAGATATGTAGAGTTCCATCTGGTTGGAACATCTAGACACAGAGAAGATTTCTTTTCAATCCCAAGCCATTCAGACAAGTCCTTAAATTTCTTAAGTCTAGCAGGTGAACTTCTCACATATCTTACAACATCCCTAACCTTCTTCACAGAATCATCACACTATTTTAGCCCATCTTGCACAACTAAATTCAAAATATGGGCAATGCATCTCATGTGAATGTACTTGCCCTTCACAGTAGATGTTCCCCAAGACATCAATTTCTTTTTAAAAAACCTAGGGCAGTGTCATTTGATGATGCATTGTCCATTGTAATAGTGTAGACATTTCTAATACCTCAATCACGCAAACAGTTTTCAAGGGATTTTGCAACAGACTCACCTTTGTGTGATGTGACAGGGACAAATGAAATAATTTTTTTTATTCAGCCTCCACTCTTCATCTATAAAGTGAGCAGTAATTACCATGTAGTTAATTCTCTGAATAGAAGTCCAAGTGTCAGTAGTAATACTGACTCTTTGAGTGTTTCCCCTAAACATGCATTTCAACTTGAGCCTTTCCTCTTCATAAATCAAATTGATGTCCCTACTAATTGTCCATCTTGATGGAATCTTAAACCTAGGACAACATACCAGAATGAACTTCCTAAATCCAGGACCTTCAACAAATCTAAAATGGAGTTAATCTATTATAATCATTTCAACTAAGACCTTCCTAATAGCTTCTTGATTAAAGACCCAAGTTCCTAACTCACCAACAGTAGCAGGGGATGCATCAGAATTGGTAACAGTTTGAAAGGTCAGAAGTGATTGCCTAGTGTCTTTTGAGTGAGGGTTTTTAAGATAGTTAACCATGTGGGTTCTCAATGATGAAGTACCATGTTTTTTGGTCTCACATTTATATATTTTGACACAATATATACACTTGCCCTCAACAGTAACTTCATTCTCATCAACAATCATGCATCCATAAACTTATAACTTATAAGTTATAAACATAGTAACATACATGCATACAGGGATACAATCACAATATCACATTAATTACACAAAGTGACAAAGAAATCCAGAAATCAGGAACCTGAAAGCCTGAAGTGTACATTCATCATTTTACTGGATTTCACAGTTGGTAGTTACAATTGGGGCTTCCACCATTTTTACCAACACAGGCAACATCCAACAACCAACATGTGTTAGGGACTTATGGGCTTCCACAAACAATACAGACAAATCATACAATCACAACTAAGTGATTCTAAAAAGTCACAGTCCACATAATCATAGAAACCCTAATCAAAGGATCAAAAATTCACAAATAAGGGACAAGTGACATGCAATCCGGAACTTCTCAACAGATTCTTGTTGTCACAGTCATCAGAATCATAGAATCACAACTAACAACAACGTATCACAATATATAAGAGTATAATCTAAGTATGTCTAAGATTAAGGTTTAGAGATTACTTCGTTTCTCCAAATCAAACCCCCGAGAACAAAGAGCTTCAAATCCGTGATTACAATCCACCGCACCAGTCACCGGTCGTCTAGAATAGGGCTTCCACCGAACAATATTAGCTAGCTTCCACCGGAGACTCACACTCTCAGTCTCTAACTGAGCAAGTCTACAACTCTAGAAGAAACTCAGAGAGAACGAGAGAACTCAGAGTCTCACAGAGTCAGAGAACTAGAGAACGATGCTAGAGAGTTCTCAGAAGTCAGAAGAAAGACGAGGAAGCTACGCAAACGACTAGGGTTTCCTTCTAACGCAACATATATACACCACTTACACGACGTTGTATACCTTAGGGTATACGAAGTCTTACCCTAATTCGGGTTGTCGGACGGGTTCGGGGGGAATTTTATAACTCCCAACCCGCCTCGTTCTAACCGGCTAGGTGGCGTGTTCTCGGTTCGCGTATGCTAGTTCGGGTTCGGATTCTTCCAAAGGGCGTATAATCGGGTTCGGATCGGTCGAGTTTTTCGGGTGGGTCGATTTTTGCACAGCCCTAGTGGAACTTAATATATAACTATTTTTCCTCTTACTACCAAGTACCAAGTGAAGGAAGCTAGCTTGGTCATGCTCTGCTATATTCTCAAATCTAGCCCCAAACTTTTTGAGTAGTCATGCTGTGTATTCATAGAACTAAAATATTTTACCACAAGGGTTAATTCCAATTATGGTTTCATTTTCACATTTATCCTATCATTTTGCATCATTCACTTAATACTTTATACTATACTATTTTTAGACATACATTTTGTCTTCTTAACCTTTTTTTTTTTTTTTTTTTTTTTTTTTGAATTGGGTGTCAAATTTAGTTATTAACTATGATTGAATTTGGCAAAAAAATTTGAAATCAAGGATATTATCATGTCTAATTAAAAAAAAAAAAAGGACTAAATGGTCGGGGGAATGCAAAACTTGGATATTTTAATTATTGATGTTGCGCTTTACATGATCATCATTTTAATTTTGAATTACTACATTTTTTTTGTTTTTTTTTTTGTTGATATTGATATTTTGAATGTCATTGTATTAAGATAAATTACTTTTTTTTTTTTTTTTTTTTTTGTATTTTTAAAACATTTATTCCCATTATAGGGTCATACACAATAAAAAATCAATATTGTTAATCATTTCAATTCTACTATACTACCAAACATGCAAAATCATTTAACCAATACTCATTACAATTACCAAGTATTTGATTTACATTCAAATTCTGATCCCCATATGCGAACCAAACACAAACCCTAGGCAAGCGTAACCACAACTATATTTTGCTTCATGTACTATACACATGGTCGATATCAATATCATAGTCATTGTCCAAACTTTACCATCTTCAATAAAAAAAATTGTCACTGAAATCACATAACACATAATCTAAATCAACAGATTACACATAATACAATCAACATTAACTTTCACAAAATTATCATGTGGTCGAACCTCTACATCCAACCAACCTCGTATCCCAACAAACTTGTGGTGAGATCCGTCGCCCTTTATTCATTTATGGTAATCTCCCCATCTTCATTGCCATTTCATTCAGAATTCATTGTACTTGTTGATATATTTGGGCAATTGGATCCTGTCATTCATATACCAAACATGGTAACGTGGCAAGTTGCGAGAGCAGACAATTGTGGTACACGTAAAGCACTCTCATTGGTTGAATCTCTTAATTGCTTAACTTATAATAAAAAAATACCGAAAAAGAGGAAGAAAAAAGAAGTAGTACCGTGCCGAAACTCGAAAGCTCGAGACCTTTAAGGATACTGCACTTCTTATTCTATTAATTGCAGGCGACTCCCCTAAATTTATTAAAATTATAGTTTTTCCCAACCGCATACAACTGTTGATATTTCGGCACGGGTGTGGGAGTTTCAATATTCGGTTCGATTTTTTTTTTTTTTAATAAAAAATGATACCATTCGATTTAATATTTTTGTTCAATTTAGTCTCTGTTTGATTTGAAAAAGTTCGGCATTGGTTTGACTTGGTATTTCATTCAATTTAGAAATCTCAATTCCCAACATTTTCTAGTGTTCTAACGCAAATAATTAATTAATTATGTTTTTTACTAATAATATCTAATTAAAAATCAATTCTGCATCCATTGAGTTCAATCTAGCTCATTTGATGAAATTATAACATCTTCAAAAAAAACTTTGGAGAATCCGAATGGACTAATTTATAATACTTTTATAATTTATTTATATAGTCTATCAATTTTTTTTTTTTTTTGTTCAAATCCAAATGAATAGAAGATATGACCATAAGCATGAACAACAGTGTTCCGCTCTCGTATGTAATATTTTCATTTCAAGTGTCATAAAATGGGTTTACAAATTGACTTCATGCATCAATTCTCAAGCTCAATAATAAAGCTACATTTAACAACATACAACAAAAACTGAGTTCCAAATTTATTGAATGTATTAATTATTATGTTGAATGTATAAATTTAAGGAAAAAGATTCATATACATATGCAAGTATATAAACTTAGGTGAGAGTAGCAAGCGAGGCTTTTTCGATTGTAGATTTGCAAGTGAGGCAAGAGTGCTAGAGCGGACGAGCGGTTCGTATACGATTAGGAATTTGAATTTATTTATTTATTATTATTATTAAAAAGAAAAAAACAAATGGAAGATCCATTCGGAGCATGAACAAAAGAAGCTGGACACAATAGTGTGCCATCAATCAAGCCATTGAGATTTTGTCTGTGAAGAAAAAGAACAAATTGAGTTTTTCAGTATAAATAATTGAAAGAGATATGTTTGATTAATATATAAAATGATGGGTTGTTTGGATGGTATTTATTGGTGGTGGAGGGGTGTAGGATATATGAGGGTATGAGATATTTAGAGGTGGACACAACGTCATGGTGACCGTGAATGTGCTTAGATCAATAAATCTATGAAGAATAATAATTCTGAAAGAATATATTGTTATTGAATAGTTCTTAATTATTATATAATATACATGAATTGAGTATTTATAGGGTACAAATATAATAATGATATATACTAAATAATAATATTTCTAATAATATAAAGAGAGATAATGAATTATAATATACTTAGAAATTAAAATACAGAGTTCTAAATAAAACTCTAACCTATAGTCAACTTATGATTCTTATTCGTATTTAAAAATAGTATATTTATTTTATTATCGTATAAACACCTAATAAAATGTTTTCCTTTAAAAAATATTTTCCATGAACCTAACATCCCTAATGAATTTGTTTACGAGATTTGCCATGTATACTACTCCTAAACTAAAGCTTCTAGTTTATCAAAGTTTTTTGGGGGCACAAATGAAAACTAGAAAAGAGAAGAGGTTGAAATAGCAATAACTGAAAATTTCAGTGATTTAAGTATTTAACAATTAATAACAATTATCCACACCCGAAAGTTCGTATAAATATCTCCATAAAAAAAATCTACTTCCATCACCTTTTTCTTTCAGGATCACGCTTTTCAGGTGATTAAAAAGGATCAACACGCCGGAAAAATCATGTCGACGGTCACTCTTGAGCCTCTAATCCACCATTCTTTCCGTCGAACACCGAAATTTTGCTTAAATCACCGACAGCCTTCTCCGTCATCTGTAAATTACACGCGGAGGCCGCTCTCGGTTGGCGCTGCGAGGTTGAGCTTCTGCAACTGCAAGCATCGCCCTCGAAGGAAAGCTCTTGCTGTCCGAGCTAGCTCCACAGTTATCGAAACTTCCGAGGTCGTCTTCGAAGAGACTTTCGATTTGAAACGAACTCAAAGAGTAAGTGGAAGAGATTCAGTTGGTGAATTTGCAAATACTAAGTGTGTAATTAAACGTGGTTATATGAATATGTGGATGTGTACATACAGGTTTTATGGATCATTCTTGTGTATATAAGTGATTTCCGAGTTTGTGATAGAAGGATCATTACTGAGTAAATGAAGGCAGATGAATCGAAATTCATAATATATGTTAATTTGGTTGTATGAATACTTTTTGTGTATGTACACACAGATTTAATGAATTAATGAAACTAACGCAATTTTTTATTTTTTATTTTTTATTTTTAATTTACACAAGGAGGGAGATAAACAGCAAATTCAAAATTCTGAGTTTATTTTCTGGAAATAAGACACATAGTAAAGTTCAATTAGCTTTTAGATCTGTGCTTATTAATTTGAGCTGCCAGTATTTTAATTTCTTATTTTTTAATTGTATTAATATATACGGAGTAGCAAAAAAGGGAAAAATGTTTTGTTTAGTGGTTCACTTACTGTATTTGGAATTGCAGGTAGAAGGAAGGATATCAATCAGATTTGATAGTGGGAGGGATGAAGAGAACTGGAAGCTCACTATAGGGTGCAATCTACCAGGGAAGTGGGTTCTTCATTGGGGAGTTCATTATGTGGGAGACTCTGGAAGGTTTGATATGTTTAATTAGTGATGCAGTTGCTATTGTTTCAAAATTACAAATCTACTGCCACCTGCCTATTTCAAATGAAATTCATGTGAAAGTTTATTCTCAGAAAAGTTTTAGATTGAGTCTCAAGTTTTAGGATGTTTGTATTGTAGTAAGCAGTTAGTATTTATTTAGGGAAGTTTTGATGTTCATTGTTTTGTTGCCTGTTTTTATCTATGATCAGTTTTCTCTTGAGATTAGTCTGGCTTTCATTATCTGTTGGAACTAGATATTAAATAACGATGAGTTACTTTTTTGATGTGGCAGTGAGTGGGATCAACCGCCTCTAGAGATGCGACCCCAAGGTTCTATTACCATCAAGGTATTGATTTTCCTGTGCCAGTTTTATGTATTACTTTTTTCTTTTTAAACTTCCCATATTTATTCTCTAAATACCAATTTTGTACCATTTCAGGATTATGCAATTGAGACTCCTTTAAAGAGATTGTCCACAGCTTTGGAAGGAGAATCGTTTTATGAAGTGGAGATTGGCTTAAATATTAACAGTCAAATTGCAGCTATAAATTTTGTGTTGAAGGTCTGCTTCATTATCGATAGTTTAGAACATTTGCTTCTTTAATCAAGTATTTCAATTATGTAAGAACTTATGCAGGATGAGGAAACTGGAGCTTGGTATCAACACAGGGGGATGGACTTCAGAGTGCCTCTCATGGACTATGCTCATGATGATAGTAACATGGTAGGAGGAAAAAAGGGCTTCGGAATATGGACAGGTTCTCTAGATTCCATGTTTATTGTCTTATACACTGAATGCCTCAACTTCACTTCCTGCTACATTTGTATCTTGTCAAATATCATCTTTGTTCCTTTCAAAAAAAATATCATCTTTGTTTTTGTCTTTTCAGTAGTTGCATTCTGTGGCAAAGGTTAACTACTGTAACATGTAGATCTCATGACTTCTCCTTACAAAAATGAAATAACAAAGTTTCTGCATAGGGCTTGATAATCATAATGATCAGTTTAGAGTTAAAACAATCAGTTTTCTAAACTATTGCATCAGCTTGCTAAACATTACAATCTAGGATCTAGATATCATTTTATTTTATTTTTAAAAAACCTCGTCTTTCCCCATCCTAGTTTTAGAGGATTTAGACACTAAAATTTAGTTGTTCTTTTGTGGCAGGGGCGCTTGGGCAGCTGTCTGACATGCTCCTTAAATCTGAAGTCGATCATACTAAAGGTGAAAATGGAAGCAATGGCTCAAGTGAACCTAGGGAACAAACTAGGTGCCTTGCAGAATTCTATGAAGAGCATGTTATTGTCAAAGAGACTCTTGTTGACAATTCAGTTACTGTCTCAGTAAAAGAGTATCCAGAGACAGCTAAAAATCTTTTACAGATAGATACTGATATACCAGGAGATGTACTCATTCACTGGGGTGTCTGCAGAGATGAGGGTAAAAACTGGGAACTTCCCGCTAAACCATATCCAACAGAAACTACAATATTCAAGAATAAGGCACTACGAACTTTGCTGCAGGTATATGATCATCCTTTGGAGTAACTATATGATAGTGGCGAATCTGGTTTCAGCATACTTGCATAAACCTACAATCTAGCTACTTCCTGCTACAGTGTTTCCAAAAGTTTTGCAACTTGAAATGCTGAAGCACACTATGGCCAACCTAGGACATAGTTCTCTGTGGAAATGGCCGCAATCAGAACTTCAGAAGTTTGTAGTTGTTTCTTTAATTTAATACAGAGTAATTTGAAAGAACCATGCAGATTAATGTTATTTAAATGATTAATCTTTAAGAAAGGTGATTTGGAAGCTTAAACAACTATAGAAAAGAACTTTGAGAGATTAAAATTTTTTGGACCTTATCCTCCTGAGGAGGATGAAAATATGGAAAGACAATTCTTTTGTATGCAGGTTTATAAGCTTTATGATTAACTGTTCAATAGAAGGAGCTTGCCTTGGGTTCTATCTTAGAATAATTATCTTGAGCTTTCTCCTTCTGCTTGTTAATTGACTCTTTATTCTCCTGCTCTGCAGCAAAAAGATGATGGATCTGGTTCTCAGAGATCATTTACTTTGGATGAAGGACCTGTAGGATTTGTTTTTGTACTGAAGCTAGATGACGGCACATGGTTGAATTGCAAGGGGAATGACTTTTATGTGCCTCTGCCTAGGAGCACAAAAGGTCAACTAAGCGCGACTGAATCTGAAGTTGAAACGCAAAACAAGGAGCTGGATTCCTTAGGGGCATCTGGCTCTACTTCCGAAGCAATGGAGGCTTCTTTGTATACTGATGAAATCATTAATGAGATTAGAAATTTGGTCACTGACATTTCTTCTGAAAAGAACAGAAATACAAAAACCAAAGAAGCACAAGAGGGCATCCTTCAGGAAATTGAGAAGCTAGCTGCAGAAGCCTACAGTATATTCAGAAGCTCAGTTCCAACATTCTCTGAAAGTGCTCTGTTAGAAGCTGAGGCTTTAAAACCTCCCACCAAAATATCTTCAGGAACTGGTTCAGGACATGAGATCTTATGCCAGGGCTTTAACTGGGAGTCTCATAAATCTGGAAGATGGTATTTGGAGCTACAAGAAAAGGCTGAACTGTTATCATCACTTGGTATTACCGTAGTCTGGTTACCTCCTCCTACAGAGTCAGTATCACCTGAAGGCTACATGCCGAAGGATTTATATAACTTAAACTCTAGGTATGTTGTTTCTCAACCGGATTCTGCAACTCATTGGTACTAAAAATGAATGCTACAAGGAAAAATTAATAGTACAGAATAAAATGCAAATTTAAGTTTTATGCTGCTAGGTTGTATGCGATGCATCTACTTTTGTCGTTCATGCTAACTGTGCATTCTTGTAGTTGGTCATGTTTTTGAACTGTTTTATGGTACTGTTCCTAACTTCCAAATAAATGTCTCATTGCCATAGTAACACAACAAGGAGTTGGGGAAGAAAGAAAAGATGTCCTACCCTCTGATTATATTTATATATAAAAAAAAAAAAAAAACTGCATCTCAATTTTTTTTTCATCCTTTTAATGCCTTTTGGCAATCAGAGCAAGTCCTCGTGTTGAAGATTTATAATTCCTGTCCTGTTGTTTAAGTAGGCTTGTTATTGTTGTAGGTGCAGAATTTTCTTCTCCATTCTCCCAACCTCGATCTGATATTTATCCTCTGATTATTTTCTCATGTCTGAGGCTTGCATGCTTTGTTGAATCTTTTTTTCCCCTAGGGGTGGGGATGGAAAATTGTTGAGAAGGGATTAAGGGTATATAAATGAAAGTGATACTAAATAAACTGGGTGCCTGTTTCTTTCCCACCCCTCCTCCCCCACCCAACACATTTTAATAACTTTCTCTACATGGAGCCATCTCATCTGATATTGCCATGATTTCCCTGAATGCTCAGATATGGAACTATTGATGAGTTAAAAGTTATTGTGAAGAGATTCCATGAAGTGGGAATCCAGGTTCTTGGCGATGTTGTTTTAAACCATCGGTGTGCTAGTTCCCGGAATCAAAATGGTGTCTGGAATATCTTTGGTGGTCGTCTTAATTGGGATGATCGTGCAGTTGTTGCTGACGATCCACATTTCCAGGTTTATAATTTTCTCTGATGTTTTTTATTTTATTTTATTTATTTATTTTTTAATCAATCATGAAACTTGTATGACAGAAATTAGGATGAAAAGCCTTCAATCAGGACTTATTATGACTTACTCAACAAATCTGATCTTCTGTAGCCTGAGTATATATTCCTAAATCCAGATACACAAGTCACCTTTCTTTTCCTCCCTCTCTTCTTTACAGGGAAGGGGCAATAAGAGTAGCGGAGATAATTTCCATGCTGCTCCAAATATTGATCATTCCCAAGAATTTGTGAGGAAGGATCTCAAGGAATGGTTATGCTGGCTGAGGTAAAATATTTTGGCTTGAAATGTACATATATCTCCTTAGAGTAAGTCTTGTTTAAGACCATCTCGCATTAGACGGTCTCACACAAGACCTACTCTTTTACTTAATATCCTTGTTTAATGATGACCTGATGTTTATGACTATCAAACAGTTGCATTTATGCACTTGTTAGCCCCATTTTCATTAACTACAAGCAAATGTGCTCATCTGTCTAAATAAAATGCTAAATCTGTCTAGATTTAATATCTTATGCCTTTTAGTTGTGAATCATATAATTGAATAGGTTACTTGAAAATGTGACCATCTTCTAATTTATGGTTGATCAGGGAAGAAATTGGTTATGATGGATGGAGACTTGATTTTGTTCGGGGATTCTGGGGAGGCTATGTGAAGGATTACTTGGAAACAAGTGAGCCTTACTTTGCTGTTGGTGAGTATTGGGATTCCCTTAGTTATACGTATGGAGAGATGGATCACAATCAAGATGCTCATAGACAAAGAATTGTTGACTGGATTAATGCAACTAATGGAACCGCTGGTGCATTTGATGTCACAACAAAGGGAATTCTTCATTCTGTAAGCATTCAACCCAATAGCATTCTTTCAATTCAAGCTTATGACTATGTTGTGAACTTTGTAGATTTGAGCACTTAGTTAAAGAATATTTGAAATGCCATTCTTACTAAATTATAATCTGTTTATAATTATAGGCAATTGAGAGATGTGAATACTGGAGATTATCAGACACGAAAGGTAAGCCTCCAGGAGTTGTTGGCTGGTGGCCATCTCGTGCTGTGACCTTTATAGAGAATCATGATACGGGTTCTACACAGGTGCATACCTCTTTTCTTCGACCTATGCCCTTCTAAATATGAGATTCAAGCCTTCAGCAAACAATTCTTGTTACCCTTGCCTTCTATGGGTGTAGAAATCCTCATCACCTCTTGTCATTTAGTTGATTTTATCTTTTATTTCCCCATATTTATAGTAAAATTTTACCAAAGTAAATGTATCTTATTACTTATTACTTCAATCGTCTCGTTTCCCCCTGAAGGGTCATTGGAGATTTCCAGGTGGAAAGGAAATGCAAGGATATGCTTACATCCTTACACACCCAGGAACCCCATCTGTTTTCTACGACCATGTTTTCTCTGGGTATCAATCTGAAATAGGATCTCTCCTCTCCCTCAGGAAGCGGAACAAGATCCATTGTCGGAGTACGGTAAGTGCACAATGTTAATTTTAGCACCACTTTAGTTTATAAAAGTTGATCATCCAATGAAACAAACTCATATTATATTGTTAGACATCCAATTTTGTAAATGAATACGAGCTTCTATAAAATGCAGGCTAAGTTCTTATACTTTTGTCCCGGAATCAAGCCATAAAAATTTTCTGTAGTTTTCTTATTTTGTATACGTTATGTTATAAATGAGGAAAACATCGTATTGACTAACATATCTATACGCCGTTGTCGTGTAATTCAGGTCAAAATAACCAAGGCAGAAAGGGATGTTTATGCAGCAATGATTGATGAAAAGTTGGCGGTGAAAATCGGACCAGGCTATTACGAACCCCCAAGTGGACCCCAGAACTGGTCTGTGGCTCTCGAAGGCAGTGATTACAAGGTCTGGGAATCATCATAAGAGAAACCGCAGTTGCCATTTAACGTTTGAAGCATTTAAGAACAAGTTACTCGAGATTGTCTCTGTGACTAGGTAAAATTGTTTGCCTACTCGTCAGGGGCAAATTCCTTTGGAAAGTTCAGTGCTTTTGTACTTGTACGCATGTTACTATTTATTGTAGTTAGTATTCAGGTTTGCTGGCCTCGTATATATTAGTCTTCTTCATACATGATGTATAGATACAAAACATATATTGTGTTGCCTTTTGGATGGTAGCAATAGAGAAAGCTTCCATGGTCTATAGTATTCAGTATTCCAGTTATTACAATTGTAAGATTAGAAACAATAATGTATTAGCAGCAGCAGATATATCTATATATTCAAAACGCAAGTTTGTTACCAGTCGTTTTCGTCCAGCAGGATGCGTGTATAATACACCCTACATAACTAAGAAAAAAAATGATTGAAATCTGCTATCATCTTATGTATGTTTCTTCTTCTTCTTCTGTTGTGCATGGGACGAAACTATGAACATCTTTTTTAGGATAAAGAGCAGCATTCCAAAAAGATCATAGGCTTTGTATATACTCCACTCCACATGCTTTGATAATGAAGGCAAATTATGCTGTGGAACCAAGTCCACCTTGCAAGGTGGATACGGTTTCAAAACGGCGTGTGACAATTTATTTTTTAAAAAATTGCTTTCTTTCGCTGTTAACAGCGTTTATCTATGTTCATAATTACTAAACTCTATGTTCATAATTATAGAACTCTATGTTAATAATTTTTTAACTCTATATTTATAATTCTTGAACTCTATATTTACAACTACTGAACTTTATATTCACAGTTACGTAACAATATATTCATAATTTTTTATGTAGTTGAATTCTTTTGACAATTGTTTTTTTTTTCTTTAAAAAAAATTGATTGGTGGAGGAAAAACAATGCCACTAACGACATCGTTACTCTCAAATTGCAGAACGGCGTCATATTGGACTCGTGTCCACCTTGACACGAGTCGATGGCATAACAATTGGATGATGAAACCGACAACCATTAGCACAATCATTTTTTTTAAACAACGTACCCAAAATTTTAAAATCTTTTTAAAATTAAAATTAGCTCGACATGAATTGAGTGCCTAGCTGGTTACACTCTATACAAATTTTTATCTTTAATTATGTTGACGAATCAAAATCTGGTCCTAGTATTGTTGTACTGATGGATTTAATTACCCGAGGTAGACCCGAATACTAAAGTCACTAAGTGATAAATATGAAAATGCAAAGAATGTATATGTCGCGGGGACAACTTTCATATTGATAGTCTTTTATAGGAAAATTAAAAAGAGAGTGTAGTAACAAGACAAGATGTAGATGTCCTAACAAAGACAAGGATATATCTTTTTATACTAAGTAATCCTCCCAACCGACCCCAAGAGAATAGGGCGGGCGGTTGGATCTTGGTTGACCGAGTCACGCGGGGACGAGGCCGACACCCAGGTTGACCCTGACCTTCGTCGGCGCCGTGATCGTCCCCCAACGGGGGTCCTCGTAGTAGACCTCAGCCGAGGTCTTCGCCTGGGACGGGGTCCCCAAGGCCCTTCGCATTACGCTGCGACTCCCGGGTCGGTTTGCCCCGAGTCTCTTCTCCTAATATATCCATCATGAGTCTCCCACTCTCTGAGTTGCGAGTCATCGTTAACGAAAGAGAGTAGCTCTAGCCGAAGGTCGACCCCGGCCGACGCCGACGCCGATGCCGAGGTTGACTTCGACCTTGGCCCGCGCTGAGGTCGTCCCCAACTGGGGTCCACGTAGTAGACCTCAGCTGAGGTTTACGCCGGGGACCCAGTTGGGGTCTCCCAGGCCCTTCGCATCACGCCGCGACCCCCGAGTCATTTCTCCTAATATATCCATCATGAGTCCACCACTCTCTGAGTTTCGAGTCCTCGTCAACGAAAGAGAGTAGCTATAGCCGAAGGTCGACCCCGACCAAGGCCGGCGCTGAGGTCGTCCCCAACTGGGGTCCACGTAGTAGACCTCAGCCGAGGTCTACGCGGGGGACCCAGTTGGGGTCTCCCAGGCCCTTCGCATCACGCCGCGACCCCCGGGTTAGTTTGTCCCGAGTCCGTTCTCCTAATATATCCATCATGTACTATGATCAAACGTGGATGTCCTAATAAAAAGGAACTAAAAATAGATTACCACCTATAAATCTAAGACTAAAAATAGAATTAATTATATATATGATAACCAACGTACCTTACTATCTTATTGTGTGAACATGAGAACTTGTGCACACTTATAGTTTAGGTACATAATTTATGTGTTAACAATTGGTTATTTACCGTCAATTTAGTTATAGACACATAATATATTAATAAAAGACACATAATATATTAATTGCAACTACATAATTTTAAATATCATTTAGATCATGCTCCAAAATGTAATGTAAATGTTTGTCTATAATATTATTTGCTACTTATAGTGTTTGGACTGGCTCTGGCTCCAGCAATCCCATACTCAGTTTTTTTTTTTTTTTTTTAAATAAATATATATACATACATTCACACTCAAATATAAGTCTTCAACCCTCCAAACCCTATTCTGTGTTCTCATATATATCGCCGTCATCGCCACTACGAGGTTACCGACTTGCCGCCGTTGATGTTGCTGCAGATCGATTACTGTACTGTATATCGACGATTCAAGGCACATCCTTCCCCTATTGCAAGAAGCGTTGAATTCTTCCATCTTTCAAACTCAATCTCGACCTGAAAATGGAAAATTGCAAGTTGTCGACGGATCAGGTGGTTGATATCTTATCGAGATTACCGGTAAAGTCTCTTATGCGATTTAAGTGTGTTTGTAAATTTTTCTATGATTTGATAACAAGCGATCACCACTTCATGGACACACACTATGAGATTAGCAAAACAAAAACAGATTGTGTTCTTTTAGAGGCTGGTTGGGCTGTTAGAGAATATTATTTGCTTTACAAAGAATCTTCTGAGTATAATGAGATTGGATGCATATACTTAGACATCCCAACAACCCCAAGAGCAATGTGGGTTAAGTGTTGTAAAGGTATGTTATGCTTGATTTCGACCAGGAATGATATTACTGAACTTGATCATGGTGATTACCTTATTTATGATATTTGGATATGTAACCCATCCATTAGGAAAGTTAAAGCCTTACCCTCTGTTACTGTCCCTTACAGACCACCTTATAATGCATTTGTTCTTAATGAATTTGGGTTTGGGATTTCTAATGACATGACTTGGAAGGTTGTCATGCTGGTACAATTTTGTTCTGTTGATGATTTTAGAACTACTCACGAAATGACGCTAGTTTATAGCCAAGTTGGTGGTGATTCGTGGAGTTTGAGACAGATTAATCCCGTTACATGGTGTCGCGATATTGAAGGTCAGATCAATGATTTTTATTTAAAAGGGAGGTACTATTGGTGGGCTGATAGGTACGCTCGATTCTTGATTTGGTTTGACATGAATGATGAGGTGTTTGGGACGATTGAATTGCCATTGGATGTTAGTATCGATTCAATCTCAATAATGAATGAGACTATTGCTTTACTTGGATATTCAAGTGTGGAGGATTCTAGTTGCATTGAGATTTGGTTAATGATTGAAAATGACAATAATACTTATTGGCACAAACAAGCAAGCATAGATTGTGCTGTAAACCTAGATAATATTGAATCTTTGACACCAATAGGAATTTGGAATGTGGATGGTGAATTGCTTGTATCTCTAGACAAGACAGTTGAGTGGGATTCAGATGATTCGGATTCTCAGCATCCTGAAAGAGTTGTACCATACTTCATATCTCTTGATTTGGTAACTCAAGAAAGGAAGATGTTCCCGGTAAGTAAGCAAAGGAAGAGTATTACCATGGCTTCAAATCCAACTGCTGGGGATTTTCAAGTTTACAACGAAAGGAATATTGATATAACAGAAGAATGGGAACCCAATATTTTTATTGGTGACACATATGCTCGAGTTTACGATGAAAGTCTACATTTTCTGTAAGAATGAAATAATTATACATTGTTTACTTATGGAGAGATGGATCACAATCTAGATGCTCATAGACAAAGAATTGTTGACTTGATTAATGCAGCTAATGGAAGCGCTGGTGCATTTGATGTCACAACAAAGGGAAATTCTTCATTCTGTAAGCATTCAACCCAATAGCATTCTTTAAATTGAAGCTTATGACTATGTTGTGAACTTTGTAGATTTGAGCACAAAGTTAAAGAATGTTTGAAATGCCATTCTTTCTAAATTATAATCTGTTTATAATTATAGGCAATTGAGAGATGTGAATACTGGAGATTATCAGACACGAAATGTAAGCCTCCAGGAGTTGTTGGCTGGTGGCAATGAAACAAACTCGTATTATATTGTTAGACATCCAATTTTGTAAATGAATACGGGCGTCTATAAAATGCAGGCTAAGTTCTTATACTATTGTCCCGGAATCAAGCCATAAAAATTTTCTGTAGTTTTCTGGCTTCGTATATATTAGTCTTCTTCATACTTGATGTATAGATACAAAACATATATTGTGTTGCCTTTTGAATGGTAGCAATAGAGAAAGCTTCCATGGTCCATAGTATTCAGTATTCCAGTTATTACAATTGTAAGATTGGAAACAATAATGTATTAGCAGCAGCAGATATATCTATATATTCAAAACGCAAGTTTGTTACCAGTCGTTTTCGTCCAGCAGGATGCTTGTATAATACACCCTACATAACTAAGAAAAAAAATGATTTAAATCTGCTATCGTCTTATGTATGTTTCTTCTTCTTCTTCTTCTGTTGTGCATGGGACGAAACTATGAACATCTTTTTTAGGATAAAGAGCAGACTTCCAAAAAGATCTTAGGCTTTGTATATACTCCACTCCACTCCACATGCTTTGATGATGAAGGCAAATTATGTTGTGGAACCAAGTCCACCTTGCAAGGTGGATATGGTTTCAAAACGGCGTCGTTTTGGTGAAAATGACGTTGTGTCAATTTTTTTTAAAAAAATTGTTTTCTTTCGCTGTTAAGTGCGTTTATCTATGTTCATAATTACTGAATTCTATGTACATAATTATAGAACTTTATGTTCATAATTTTTGAACTCTATTTTTATAATTCTTGAACTCTATATTTACAACTACTGAACTTTATATTCACAATTTTGTATGTAGCTGAATTCTTTTGATAATTGTTATATATATATAACTGATTGGTGGAGAGAAAACGGTGCCACTAACGACATCGTTTCTCCCAAATTGCAGAACGGTATCATATTGGACCCGTGTCCACCATGTAAGGTGGACACGAGTTCATAGCATAACAATTGGATGATGAAACCGACAACCATTAGCACAGCATTATATATATTTTTTTAAACAACGTACCCAAAATTTTTAAATCTTTTTAAAATTAAAATTAGTTCGACATGAATTGAGTGCCTAGCTGGTTACATCCTATACAAATTTTTACCTTTAATTATGTTGATGAATTGAAATCAGGTCCCTAGTATAATTGTGATAATGTCATAATAATATTATGATCAAATGTGGACGTTAACTAAAAATGGACTACCATCTATAAATCTAGGACTAAAAATAGAATTAACTATATATATGAGAACCAACGTACCTTATTACCTTATTGTGTGAATGTGAACAAAGAAAATTGAATAAAATATATATTAATATTCAAAATTCTGGGTACAATAGTATATATCAATTGGATGTCCTTTGATTCTTCAATTCGATGCCTTGAACACTCCATTATGGAAAGGCCTCCAGGTTTCAAGGGGCTTAATCTTCAAAGAAGGGAATGACTTGTATATACAACGTGTTCTTCATTGAAGGGCCTCCGGGTTCAAATAACTTAATCTTCAATGGAGGTTTGAATCAACAGACATGATTGGATTGGAGGAGGGACTTTTACTTTCAGGATCACATTTTCATTGTGATCTTGAATAATATATATTTCCATATGTTTACATAATTTTTCCTAAGATCTGTGATTACATAGAAATAAACACAAACTTGTTTGATATTATCTAATTAACAAATTAGATAATATCAATATTATTCATAAATATATTTAAATATTTTTTTTTATTTAAATATATTCAAATATACTAATATTAATAAATAATTAATATTTATCAAAAGTTCGGTGTCAACCGTGAACATGCGAACTTGTACACACTTTGTAGTAGGTACATTATTTATGTGCCTACAGATGATTATTTACAGTCAATTTATTTATAATACTATGTTAATTGCACTTACATAATTTAAATATCATTTAGATCATGCTTCAAAATTTAAGGTAAATCTTTGTCTATAATATTATTTGCTGACTTATAGTGTTTGGACGGGCTCCAGCAGGCCATCCCATAGTAAATTTAATATATATATATATATATATATATATATATATATATATATATATATATATATACTAGTTTTTCTACGCGCTTTGCGCGAATAAGATAAATGCCCAATACTTATTTTTAATTAAGTATTTCAAAGTATATCAATGCAATATTATATAGAAGATGTTCATGCATAAGTAAATAAATGTTGAATTTGTTTATTTAAATCGGTAATTTAAAGTATATAAATGCAAGATAATACATGAGAGATTGATTATATATAACTGTCACAAAAATAAATGTTTGCAACTTTGTAATAACGTTAATCTAAGTACTAAGTCTAAAAGCGATAGTCTAACTAAATACTCTTTTTTGTTTAAATTTTTAATTTTCTTTTGGGTAGCATTGTTATTGTTTTCATCTTCAGTACATTTTTTTATTTTTTATTTTTTTTTGTTATTGCCTATTGGTAGTGCGTCATGTGCAATTGGGTTATTTGTGGCATCATAGAGGGATTCATCATGCAATGAGATTATGCTATGGAACCGTGTCCACATTGCAAGGTGGACATGGTTCTAAAACTGTTCATAATTATGAATATATAGTTCAAAAATTATGAACATATAGTTCTATAATTATGAACATAGAGTTGTGAACATATAGTTCTGTAATTATGAATATAGAGATTCAATAATTGTGAATATGAAGTTAAAAAATTATGAATATATACCTTTATAATTATGAACATATAATTCAGTAATTATGAACATAGAGTTCTGTAATTGTGAATATAGAGTTCAATAATTGTTCTCAATAATCAAAGAAGATTAATTAAACAAAAAAAAAAAAAAAAAAAAAACTAAACTTAAATTTTTTTTAATGAAAAAAATCAAATGATTTTCAAAGTTCCTGATTTATAATCATTGAATGCTATGTATTTATTCGGGCTAATTATTTGACCAAAATTTATGTTAAATTTTATATTATATTTTTAATACATTTTAACATATTCATAGTATATGTTTAACAGTTATGATAACTCTAATTGGAATGGGGTTCGAACTTAAGACCTTTCTTATAGAAATTAATAAGTAAGTTAAGAATAATAAATAGTTAACGAAATATTCCGTTAATAAAGTTTATACTAACGGAATTTAAAGTTATTTAAGGGGAAAAAATAATATAATAAAGGGTAAATAAGGAAAATCATTAAAAATACTAAAATCAAAATAGTATGAACCATTCATTTTAAGAAACAATTAGTACCGACATTTTTTTTATTCCAGTTAAGGGCCTAACATTATTCGCTCTTATTTTCATTTTAAGATTTAAGATAAGAAACAATTAGTACCGACATTTTTTTTATTCCAGTTAAGGGCCTAACATTATTCGCTCTTATTAAAATTGTAGATTGTAGATATATTTACACTCTCAAATACAAGTCTTCAACCCTCCAAACCCTATATTCTACCCTATTCTGTGTTCTCATATATATCGCCGTCATCGTCACTACGAGGTTGCCGTCTCGCCGCCGTTACGTTGATGTTGCTGCAGATCGATTACTGTACTGTATATTGACGATTCAAGGCACATCCTTCCCCTATTGCAAGAATCGTTGAATTGTTCGATCTTTGAATCTCAATCTCGATCTGAAAATGGAAAATTGCAGACTGTCAACGGATTTGGTGGTTGATATCTTATCCAGATTACGGGTAAAGTCTCTTATGCGATTTAAATGTGTTTGTAAATTTTTCTATAATTTGATAACGAATGACCTCCGCTTTATGGACACACACTATGAATTTCACAAAGCAAAAACTGATTGTGTTCTTTTAGAGACTGGTTTGGCTGTTAGAGAAAATTATTTGCTTTACAAAGAATCTTCTGAGTATAATGAGATTGGATGCATATACTTAGACATCCCAACAACCCCAAGAGCAATGTGGGTTAAGTGTTGTAAAGGTATGTTATGCTTGATTTCGACCAGGAATGATATTGCTAAACTTGATAATGTTGATTACCTTATTTATGATATTTGGATATGTAACCCATCCATTAGGAAAGTTAAAGCCTTACCCTCTGTTACCGTCCCTTACAGACTACCTTATAATGCATATGTTCATAACGAATTTGGGTTTGGGATTTCTAACGACATGACTTGGAAGGTTGTGATGCTGTTAGAAATTTGTTCTTTTGATGTTAGTACAAATGATCAACAAATCACACTAGTTTATAGCCAAGTTGGTGGTGATTCTTGGAGTTTGAGACAGATTAATGCTGTTACATCTTGTCGTGATATTGGGGGTCAGTTCAATGATTTTTATTTATCTGGTCTCGATATGGGTCTGAACAATGATTTTTATTTAAAAGGGAGGTACTATTGGCTGGCTAATAGGTTCCATGATGAACCTTACACTCAATGCTTGATTTGGTTTGACATGAATGATGAGGTGTTTGGGACGATTGAATTGCCCATGGATGTTACTATCCATTCAATCTCAATAATGAATGAGACTATTGCTTTACTTGGATATTCAAGTGTGGGGGTTGCAATCACAATAATAACTGAGACTATTGCTTTACGTGGATATTCAAGTGCGGAGGATTCTAGATGCATTGAGATTTGGTTAATGATTGAAGATGACAACAATACTTATTGGCATAAACAAGCAAGCATAGATTGTGTTGTAGATAATAATGAATCTTGGAGACCAATAGGAATTTGGAATGTGAATGGTGAATTGCTTGTATCTTTAGACAAGAAAGTTGGGTGGGATTCAGATAATTCGGATCTGCAGTTCATATCTCTTGATTTGGTAACTCAACAAAGGAATATGTTCTCCGTAAGTAAACAAAGGAGTATTACTATGGCTTCAAATCCAACCGTTGGAGACGAAAGGAATATTGATATAATAGACGAATACGATTTAATTTTTAGTGGTGAGGTATATGCTCGTGTTTACGATGAAAGCCTACATTTTCTGTAAGAATGATACATTGTTTACTTAATTCTCTTTTTATTTGCACGTACAACCTTGTGCATGGAGCTATGTGATAGTGGAGTAAGATATATGATACTTTTTCTATGCATTATAAACTATGATTTCTAATTTCATCAAGGTTGGTGTGATTTATTATTATTGTTGTTATTATTAGTATTATTAGTATTTTAAATTATGAATTCCCTTCCCTTGAAGTGTGTTTTTTTTTTTTTAATATAATGTTTATTCACATCTTTTTAAAGGTGTTGTGGATGTTAGGTGTTTCTTGATCAATTATATATATCTCAGTTGAATTGTGTGTATAATACACTTTTGGCTCAGCAGAATGCATGCATGATTATATTATTTTTAATTATGAATTCAATATTGAACTTTTGCAATCTTAGAGATCATATATTTATTAGCATCTTTTCTAAAATGTTTCATAGATGACATAAATACTCCATTTAAACAGCAACACATATATAATTTAGACTAGACTCCATAATGCAGTTGGTGGATTTGAGTCCAAGCGCATGGCGGATCCCGGTCCACTGTGGTGGTATACAATAGTACAGAAACATATAAATATACTGATAATACAAAAAATTTAAAAATAAAAATTTGTGTATATTTAAACCAATCTGAAATAAAATTGAAACAATTCCACTTGAACTTAATATATCAAGATTGTAACTTGGAGGTTGTGGTTCAGTCTTTGGTTTTGAGAATAGAACAACCTTAAATCTCCAGGCCAGTTGAAGTGTTGCCTACAATTCAGCAAGGGCACTGTGCAGTGTTGTGGTAGAAATGCTGGGTATACCAAAAAAAATATTTAGCAAGATTGTTGACCTAAAATTCACCCCTAACCTTAAACTTTATCCAATCCTTTTAGATTTTAATTAGCTTGCTAATTAAATTGTGAGCATATAGCCATCAGCTTAGGCTTTCAGTGGAGATGTCAATTTGGTATCAGAGCCAGACCAAAGTTTGCATAAAAGAGATGGACAAAAAAATATTATAGAGAGGTTAAGCACATTTACAAGGAGCAAAGTAAAGATATAGCCAGTATGATGAGACTCTCACGTGATTAAATTGTGAACATTACCAAATGTTTGGTTAGGAGGAAATTATGACCTACTAACCCATTGAGTCAACGTGATTTACATCCTCCCACATACTCTGTCGGGTCGGAGTGTGAGGGGGCCCTTAGGATTGGGGATTCAGCTTTTGGGATAAGGAGGAAATTATGAAAGAAATGAATTGTAATTTGATAAGAAAAAAAATTAATTTAGAATAAAGTAGAAATTCAAATTAAATCCTATATTATATTAAAAAAAATTAATACATTTTTGAAAAATAAATTGCTAATATTTTTCCTTCTCAACAATTTTGTGCATTACAAGAATAAAAACACTGCCGTTTAGGTTATAAAAAAAAACACTCTCGTTTAATTATGCTAAGGAAAACTTACGGTATATATGGTAGGGGTCTTTTCATATCCCAAGAGGCCAAGAGTGACTAATTATATTAAATTAGAGTAGATTAGTTATGGCGTGCTTAATTTCAATATTTGAATGGCGTGTTAATTTCAAAATCTGAACAGGTAGGGAACAATAAATGCAAAACGTTGGAACTTTCTTGATTGACTGTGTACTTTCAGACTCAACATAGAATGATGAAATTATCTGGCGATATTTTTTTGACTGTGTAATATAATAACTGGTTGGAAGGAGCTTATTATGGCGATTTTAAATATTGGGAATAACAATTATATTGAGTTAGTTACTTCTTTCATTTTAATTCATCGCTTTAATTTGCCTCTATATTTAATGCGTCAAAATATTATTTGAATCATCAATTTATTAGAAGTTCATCCCTAACTGCTTTGATTTGTTCAGATGATGAACACAAAGAACTGGAAGCGTTTGTATATTCTATTGATATTCAATGATAATCAGATGAAATACACGTACTCTATTTTACTCTTATTAAATTATACTATATATACTAATAAGAGACCAAGAGCGTTAAGCCTATAATGTGTAGAAAAAATGGCGGTCAAATTTTTTAATCAAATGAATGGCTCCGATTGATCAGATTTTAATTTTTCCTTAAGATTTCCTAATTTATCCTTAATGAATATGATTTTTCGTTAACTTTTCTGTTAAATATTATCTTTTCCTTTAATTTCTGTTAGTTCACCGTTAACTTACTCATTGATTTCAATAAGAAAGGTTTTATGTTCGAACCTCATCCCAATCAAAGTTGACATAATTAGTACTCTATTTTACTCTTATTAATTATACTAGTTCTTTTACGCGCTTTGCGCGAATGGAATAATGCCAATGATTATTTTTAAATAAGTATTTCAAAGTATATCAATGCAATATTATATCGGAGATGTTCATACATAGGTAAATAAATGTTGAATTTGTTTATTTAAATCGGTAATTTAAAGTATATAAATGCAAGATAATATATGAGAGATTGATTATATTGTCACTAAAATAAATGTTGCAACTTTGTAATAACGCTAGTCTAAATACTTAGTCTAAAAATGATAATCTAAATAAATACTACTTTTGGTTTAAATTTTTCTAATTCTTTTTAATTCTCTTTTGGGTAGCATTGTCATTGTCTTCATCTTCGGTACACATCCTCTTTTTTTATTGGTAGTGTGTCATGTGCAATGAGATTATGGTGTATGAAGCTTTAGATTTGCCTTGTTGTGTATATGATGGAATCTTAGTTGTACTATTGACTCTTTATCTTACAAATTAAACACCTATTGATATTTGGTAGTTGTAGTTTTTCCCTACATGTTTCATGCGTTGTGAAATGTGTGTCGTAGGTTGTCATGTGAAAGTATTGAACAAAATATTAAAATTTATTATATTTGTATAAAATACTTGGTAAATAAATATATATAACATATTTTGTATTATAACTTTGATGCTTTCAAAAAAGTATTATAACTTTGATATTATAGACATCTAATAGTATTTTAAATAAAGGCATTATAGACATCTAATTCTAAATTAATTAAATGCATATGTATTATTTTTTGTTGTAGCAACTAATTTATAATCTAGTATACTAATAAGAGTCCAAGAAACTTAGGCCTATAATGGGTAGAAAAAATGGCGGTCAGATTTTTTTAATAAAATGAATGGCTCAGATTGATCAAATTTTAATTTTTTCATCAGATTTCCTAATTTATCCTTAATGAATATGATTATCCGTTAGCTTTTCCGTTAAATATTATCTTTTCCGTTAATTTCTGTTAGTTCACCGTTAACTTACTCATTGATTTCAATAATAAATGTCTTAGGTTCGAATCTCATCCCAATCAAAGTTTGCATAATTAGTACTTTTTTTTGAAAAAATAATCTGTCAACTGTATTAATTGATGAAAGCTGAAATAGCGTCATGAGGGATAGTATCCCAATACATAGAATGTTCCTGAGTAAAAGCTAACGAAGCTAAAGTATGAGCATGTAAAATAATCTGCCTAGGCACATAGCTTAACGAAATTAAATTAAATAAAGACATCATCGTTCTGCACTGGTCAATTATCAACCCAACATACGAGTGAATAGGTGTAGTTCGGTGTTGTATGGTAGTACGCAGGACCAAACAATCTGTGAGAAAATAGACCGAGTAGATATTCCTTTCAACTAACCAGGATAGTGCTTCTTTAAATGCCATCGCCTCCGCCATTAATGGTGAAAAACAGGAGGGTGATCTACCATTCTTTGCTGCCACAAACGATCCTCCGGGCTCTAATAACACAATTCCATACGTAGCCTCTCCGGTTTCTTGGCGAAACCCCGCATCTATATAACATCGCATGTGGTTGCCGGGCAACATCGGTTCGGGCTGTGGCTGTACTTGTTCTCGCGTGGACCGGATGTGCACCGCGCCATACGCCTTGAGCATTGCTTCCGTCCCCTTTACTACCGAATTCGGCCGAGACATGGCCCCATTCCACACGGCCGCATTGCGGCATTTCCATATATTGTAGAGAACACCCACCATAAGCTGTGTTTGCTCCTCTGTTAAGATCGCCATAGCCCCAGCTAGCCATGCTGCAAACGAATCTGTAACAATGTTTGTGATAGGTAATTGTGTTATATTCCAAACTAATGCAGAATATTCACAATATACTAATGCATGCCACACATCTTCATTATCAATCATACACATAGGACATGCCGGGTCAATCTCCACCCTCTTATTAATTAAATTCATGGTAGTGGGTAAAATATCACATACTACTCTCCACAAAAAAGTCTTCCACTTTGGTGGTATTTTCAATTTCCACATCTTAACCCATTTATCAAAGTCACCTGGGTTATTCTCATAATCACCAACAATACGCCTGTAAGCATTCTTTACTGAATAAATTCCTTTTGGGTCACCTATCCAGTACCATGTGTCATCATAATCTGGCTAACAGGAATCAT